CGGCCTCTGGCCCCGCCAGGCCGTTTGAGCCCTGGTAGGGGGCCACATGCAAACCCTACCCCTGCCCCCACGATCTCTGAGGAGGGGGGTGGGGTTCACTTCGTTCGGGAGCTCCCAAGCGAAGTGAACCCCACCCTCCCCCTCAGAAATCGTGGGGGGGAGGGGTAAGGTTCGCTTGTGGCCCCCCACCTGGCCTCGCCGCGCCGGGGCTCTGTCAGAGCACTCTGGAGCCTGCCCCCGGCCCAGGGAAGCCTGGGTCTCCGCCGGGCGGCCAAGCCCCGGTGCAGCAGTGCAGCCCAGTGGGAGTCCAGGAGTAGTTCTGAATACTCCGAATTTCTTCATCAGCGTCGGGGGGGCGTCACCCCCGCCGACAGCCCCACATCGACCCCCGTCGCGGGCAGCCACCGCGCGCCGAAGGCGCTCCGACCCCCGTCGCGGCGCGACGACGAGGCGAGGTTGACCCTGCGGGCGGGTGGAACTAGTTTTCTAAAAAGGTCGCCCCTGGGAGGCCCGCCGGACGGACGAGCCCCCCAGCCCGCCGGGCCTCCAACCGCTGGGCCCCAGGGCTGGGCTAGCGCGCCGGGCTGGCGGACTGGGCCGCCGGGCCGGGCCGGGCCAGGCCCCCGGGCGGCATCCGACGTCTCGATCTTGCTCGAGACACGGGCCCCCGACCTCCCGACCACTCCCCCGGGACCGCTTTCTCATCCCGAGCCGTTTCTTGACGGTCCCGAGGCCCGGCGCGGGCCCCGAGAGGCCGAGCACGACGGAGAACCTCCGTCTCGGTCTTTTCGAGACGCCCGACGCCCGGGACGGGGCCGCAGGACCAGGCCGCAAGCCATCGGCCCACCAGCTCCCCAGCCGCCGAACTGCCTCTGCCGTGTCTCCCATCCTGCCAGGCTGCCGCCCGCCGCTGACCGGCTTTCTGGTGGCGCTGCCAGATCCGCCGGCCGCTGGCACGGCCGCCGGATCGCCGGCTGGCTGGTGCCTCCCTCGGCTGCCCGCAGGTCCGATGGGCGGCGAGGGCCCCGCGTGAATTTTCACGGGGGTCACCGCGCGGGTCTCGCCCGTGAGGCCCCGACCTGCGCGCGGGCCACCCACTCAGGACGAGCAGCACTGCTTCGACGCTGAAACTCGACCCAGAGAGTCTCGCCAATCCTGTCCTCGCCGCTCAAGTTCCACAAGAACGCGCGACCTACTGGGCCCGACAGAGATCCAAAACCACCTCCGTACCGCGCCCACCAAATCTCCAAGCGCCGCGAGGCAAACAACAAAAAGAACAAGGCCATGCCCCCCAGGCCCAGATCGTTCCTGGATAGCATACATCCCGTGGAAAGTCGAAGAGGAGGAGCACTGATGATTGAAAAAACGGACACCAAATATAAACAACAACGACAACAACGACGCAACACCAACAGCAATAGCAACAACAACAACAATAACAATAATAATAATCCGCCGATCCGGCGTGTGAGTTTCAAGGAGTCTCAGCTACAGCCTCGAGGCTGAGCTTCAGCCTCTGGGGGGGTCGCCGGGGTGGCTCTGCCGGGGAAGGGGGGGTGGGGGGGGGGGGGGGGGTGCGAGTTTCCGGCGAACCCCGGGGCCGCTCCGGGGGAGTGGAAGATAGGGGGGGGGGGGGCGCCATGCTCCGCTTTTTCCGGCGCTTTGGAGGAGGGGGGGGGCCCAAGAGACCCCCAAGGGGTTCCAAGAGGGCCCCGAGTCGCCGAAAAATCGCTCCAAGACGCCCGAGATGGCCTCCAGACGGCCCAAGGTGTCTCCAAGACGCCCCAAGAAGCTTCCAAGAGGCCTCCCAAGAGGGCCCCAAGAGGCCAGAATCGTTGATTTTCATTGGTTTTCTCAGGGTTTTTAGCGTTCTTGCCTTTTCGGGCGTCCGACGCTCGAAGACGGCCCAAGAGGCCCCCAAGTCCGTCCCAAGACGGCCCACGATGCTTCCAACACGGCCCAAGAGAGCCCCAAGACGGCCCAAGAGGGCCCCAAGACGGCCCAAGAGGGCCTCTGGACAGCCCAAGAAGGCCCCAAGAGAGCCCCAAGAGGGGCCCAAGAGGGGGACCACGAACCGAAAGAACCGAGCTTTCCGCCCCAAGAGGCCCCCAGGAGGCCCCAAGAGACCCCCAAGGGGCCCCAAGAAGCCCACAAGAGGCCCAAAAGAGGTTCCAAGAGGCCCCAAAACAGCTCCCCAGAGGCCTCCAGACTGCCTCCGGCAGGCCCCCGGTTTCTTCCGCGGCACCGCCCAGGGCGCCACCGGCAGGATGTCCTCCGTCTCATCGTTTTCCTTCAAGTTATCGCCTCTTCCTCATTCTCCTCCTCCTCCTCTGCGACCTCACTCCTATCCCTCAACGATCGCGTCACCGAGTGCCTCTTCTTTGAAACATCCTCGCTCTTCAAACGCACATCCATACACACATGCATACATACCTACATTTAAACACATTTGCATACATAGAAAAACAATCTTCCAGACATACATACTTACATTCACACACATACACACATATTATCATACACACATACAAACATACATACAAACTAAATACATACATACGCGCACAAGCATACATACATACATACGTACCTACACACAGGCACACATGATCAATGCATGCATACATGCATGCACGCGTACATACACACACATATATCGTGAAACTCACCGCGTGCTCGAAACTTGAGAGAGACCGCGGGAAGTCGAGAGAAGCCGCGGAACGAGGCCTCTACTACTACTACCACTACTACCACAACCACTACTACTACTACTACTACCACTACTACTACTACTACTACTACTACTACTACTGCTACTACTACTACTACTACTACTACTACTAATACTACTACTAGTACTACAGGAGCGTTTCCCAACTAGTATGTGTGTGTGGGTGATGCTGTGTGCGCATGTCTGCGGCGCAGGTTAAGTGGTGTGACTGTGTGTGTGCGTTTGAGTGTGCGCCCATAATTTCTGCGTCTGGAGAATAACCCCGAGCGACCCGGATCGGCGGCACTGGCCGAAGGCCACTACAATAATAACAACAACAACAACAACAACAACAACAACAACAACAACAACAACAACAACAACAAACGACGACGACGACGACGACGACACAACAACGACAACAACAACAACAACAACAACAACAACAACAACAACAACAACAACAACAACAACAACAACAAACCACAACCAAACCACAACACAACACAACAACAACAACAACAACAACAACAACAACAACAACAACAACAACAACAACAACAACAACAACAACAACAACAACAAGGAACAACCGCGCGTGAGTACCCCATGGTCCCAAACCTCGTTCCCCGCGTTCTTCCCTAAGGTGGAGCCGCGCGTCTGTGCCCCATTGGCCGGCTCGGACCCCCCCCCCCAGCAACCAGCAACCAGCAAGCAGCAACCCCCTGCTCCGCTGGCGAATTCGCTCGCTTAAGGGTGTGGACTCATCCTCCATGCCATTTTGCCGTGTGTGCACCCACCAGCGAAGCTCCAGAATCTACGGAGTCCTTCCTCTCGGATCCTTAGGTGGATCCAGCTCTACTACAATCCTATTACTGGTGGATCCACCTCTACTACAATCCTATTACTGGTGGATCCACCTCCACTACAATCGTATTACTGCTGGATCCACCTCTACTACAATCCGATTAGTGGAGGATCTATCCTGTGGAGCTCCCTGCGGGGCCAGGGCCGCGATCCTCGAGAGTGCTGTGCCGAAATAAAGATTCGGTGGAGCTCCCTGTTGGGCCAGGGCCAGGATCCTCGAGAGGGGCGTGCCGAAATAAAGATTCGGTGGAGCTCCCTGTGGGGCCAGGGCCAAGATCATCGAGAGGGGTGTGCTGAAGTGAAGCTTCGGTGCAGCTCCCAACCGCCCGCCCGCCAATTGGCCGGCAAACATCGTAGGATCGGTACTGATGTTGCCCACACAGGCTTGCCCTTTTTCGTCTGGGGAAGTCCTCTTCCTCCTCCTCCTCCTCCTCCTCCTCCGCCTCCTCCTGCCTCCTCCTCCTCCTCCTCCTCCTGGCGGAGGAGGCCCAGAGGGGGACCTATCCACCCTAACCAAGTTCTCACCGAATCTCGCCGTGCTTCGGCCGTCTTCAAGCTGTCTGCAGCCGTTGGGCTGTGGGTTGTCTACGAGCCGACGTCGTTGAGAGGGGTGTGCCGAAATGCAGTTTCGGTGGAGCTCCCTGCGAGACCCAGGGCCGCGATCCTCGAGAGGGGTGCGCCGAAAAGAAGCTTCGGTGGAGCTCCCTGCTGGGCCAGGGCCAGGATCCTCAAGAGGGGTGTGCCGAAATTTTGATTCGGTGGAGCTCCCTGTGGGGCCAGGGCCAAGATCATCGAGAAGGGTGTGCTGAAATGTAGCGTCGGTCCAGCACCCTGTGAGGCCAGGGCCACGGTCCTCGAGATGTGTGTGCCGAGATGGAGCTTCGGTGGAGTTCCCTGTGGTACCAGGGCCACGATCCTCGAGATGGGTGTACCGAAATGAAGCTTCGGTGGAGCTCCATGTGGGGCCAGGGCAGCGATCCTCGAGAGGGGTGTGCCGAAATGAAGC